GTTGGTCTGATGCTCGGTATGTACATTGTAAGGCAGAACGATACTACTACATGCGCGCGACGCTTCATCACACACAGTTCGTTATAGTTCAAAGGGGAAATAATACACACGTACGACGCTCTTATATTCAAAAGAACTGTGTGACGAGGTGTCGAGTGAGCGTCAAACTAAATGAGCAAATCACGTCCATAGGCTTCAGTTCCATTGTATGAGGGGTTTTTATGCCATAAATGTGATTTTGTATCAATCTTTCAATCAATCGATAGTTTTATGAAGAAATGTCGATTTGAGACCAAATTTGTAGGAAAACTGGTGTTCAAGTGTTCAGCGACCCATATTTTTTTGACGAAAAAATGTTAGTTGTCGAAGATAAAAACATCGTAAGAGGCCATTTTCAACCATTTTTCTAACACCACTGACAAAAAATTTGAAAAACATTTTTTAGCACTACATGGAATATAGGCAATTGCATTTGTTTTTTTTTTCTCGAGAAAATTTTAAGACTCTTTAGGCCATTTTTTTGGATCGAAAATTAATTCTTTTTTCTATCCAAAGTTCTAATTTGAATTAGAAATAAAATTCAAATTTGAAATAAAGCAATTACGCCTAATTACGAAAATAAGAATTCTAACACATATAAACTTATATGATAAGTTGTATATTTTCCATGTTATATAATGTATAATCTCCGCGGATAAATCTTCCACATACGAGAGTCAATTTTTCCTACCTATGAGGACTATCGACCCGGATAAATGGTGGCGAATTTGGTGTGGCCTAGCGAGCCATACCGACCAAAAATCCTTTTGCTCCCATTGGGAAAATTTCGAAAATTTATCCTGAGCAAAAAAACAGCACTTGTCTTGAGCATTATATGATTAATAACTAAATTTTTCAATGTTTCTCTTATAGATTTAATTTTATCAATGTACGGCAATTTCGTGAAAGATTTGTTCAATGAACTTTTTGACTCCTTTAACAATTATTAATAAATTGAATAATGCAGTTACCCCACAAGAAATGTCATCTTCTTGAGAAACAAAAGAATCTTTGAAACGTATATAATTTTTGGGATCGTTTAAAAATGGATATAGTCTTTTAATTACTTCCAGTTGTTCTTTTGACACTATTTTTCTATTGAAACTATCATATACATATATCATAAGATCAACAGGGTTATAGTATAAACATAACCAATGAACTGAGCTTCTATCTTCTTCTTGACCTCTTCAATTTTATAATCTCCAGAAAAAATACAGTCCGGGTCGAACATTATTGATTTTGATTAAAATAATTTTCATAAAATACAGAAATGTATACTTCGATTGAAACTACATTCCATGTAGTGCTTGAATGAATAATTTGATGGAAAAATCAAATTAACGTAAGAAAAACCATTTTAAATAACGCAAAAAGAACGGTCTTGTTTTTCCATTGAATCCACCAACTTTCCAAAACGAAGTATGAGGTTAATATCGGCTCACCAGCAACTAAAATCTGACCTTCATGTGTTGAACCGTTTACTAGGGGCTTTTATCTCTATTTATACAAAATGGTTTATATGCGAAATGGTTAAAATATACGGCGTATACGCGAGTTATATTAGAAATATGCACAAAATTTATACGTGGTAATACGTATTTATATGAAATATTCGTTCAGAGTTAGATCTTGCGCTCGAAGTTTGCCGAAGACATTAAGTCATTATCTCTTATCAGTTTCGTGAAAAAGCTAAAAATCTAAATAAACCACCAAAAATTAATAGATACTCGTCTTTGACCATTTTGAAGTCAAAGAAATCTCCTCTTTCATGATAAGCCATGAACTGTAGAGATTTGATACTCATGGCGCCCCCTACCCCCGTAGTCTCGCCGCAACTGTCAGATTCTGTCAGATTTGTAAAATACATTTTAAGTACCTATACAATTGAATAAACACCAACTGAAATGATTAGTTTAATATAATACGCATGGGTGCTTGCTATTACCGACTAATAAATTGTAAAATTTGAAAGAATAAATTCATTCGTTTTTTTGGAAAAATTCCGACAGTAAAACATAAATGATAAATCAATCTATGACGCATTCACTTTGAATACTAATGAACAAATCTCATTACTCCTGAATTACATTACCTTCTTTGGCAACGTTTGGAAACTTCGTGTAAACAATAATGGAGTATATCGACACTACATTTCTCGCTGTTATTAAGACATTTATTTCTGATAAATATTTTGAAATAAAAAGAAATACATTCTGTATCAAAATGTATTAAATTTAAAAACTTTGTTTTTATGCGTATGTACATAACATACATTGGGTATGAACCGGTATGAACAGCTGTAATGGCGGCCATTTTCCTTTTCACCGCTTTTGACAGTTCATATTCATATATATTACATGCCAGAGATCATTTTGCATTCTGTTTATTCATACGTTTTTCAGG